GTCCATGATTGATATTACCTAATTATTTATCATCTACCTATTGATTATTCATTTATTAATTGTCAATTAACTATTCATCAATTGTTATTTCATCCATCCATCCATTCACTAGCAAATGGCATTATTTTTCTTTCATCAAGTTTAGTTTGTTTTAGATCTCGATGTTTGAAAGAAAATGGTTGAATGAACGATATTAATTCCGTTTCATTCAAAGAATGCCGAATGATCATGTTATTGTATTGTCGGTAACTTTTAACACTATCTCGTAAAAATGTGGTCGTAATGAGAATAGTATGATTCGCTTTAATTGTACATATTGAAAAAAAGTTGTGGCTAATCCATTTTTATTTTTACCGAAGATCATAAAATGCGGCAGCGGCAAAATAAAAAAACATATATATAACCTTTTCTTGGTAAATATTCTAGCATGACATCGTATTGCTTGATTTAATATGTATCACGCTCATATTAAGTAATTAATAAGATACTATATCGATCTGACACAACACCATTCTGTGTAAAGCCAATTCATTGAGTGGTACACTTTAGTCACCAGAAGTCATAATAGCTGCAATGATAATACGATGCCAATAATACCTATAATAAAGTGTGCATGGATGAGTATGACAACATGCGTCATTGTTTTTGTGAAGCCATCCAATGCGCCACGTTGTTTTTCAGCGGAACTGAGCCAGAACTGAGCCAAGGTTTGTTAAACGCATGATCAGCCACATAGCCTGCTAAGTGTGGCAATGATAATGATTTCACTTTGTGATGTTCGTTCAAATATGGAAGGCCTTTCAGGTTTCATAAATAAAAAAGGGTGACACAGAAATTGTGCCTCCTTTTTTTATACAAACGTGGAATAAAATGGGCTTGGACCAATTTTCGTGGCAAAAAAAGCATTGGTTCCATTTTTAATTACATTGGACAAAATAACGAGTTCACAAATTGATCTTATGTCCTTTTCTCGTTCTCATTAATGCAGTGTTTGAGAAGGATGGGAATGCGTTGTGTTAATGAACGCGTGAAATAAGGACATAGAGAAATCAGATGTAATCCTGAAAAGGTCAATACATAATTTCCACGGGGAAAACGTTAAGGGAAAAGAGTTTACTGCCCGAATTGTAAATAGCATCACATGTTGCCTCGTCTTACGAAGAAAATTCATGGTCGGTGAATGATCCGAATGACCATGTTGAGCAGTAACCGTGATAATCGCATTGGTGAAGTAGCTTATAAAGGACACCGATATGTGAAATGGCTGCAGT